CATCGCTTATAATAGCAAGTGGAGTACCAAATCTTGTGAAAATATTCTTCTTCAAGAAAGCCACCATACTTCTCACCTTCAAATTACTAGTTTTCAATAAATTATGTTAAATCAAGTTAGGGACATCCGAATCCGATTCCGGGTATACGTCCAAGTCTCAAATTATGATACGGACCCACCAGGACTGTCAAAACATAGATCCGGGTTTGTTTATATAAAATATTGACTGTAGTCAACTCAAATGAGTTTTAAGCTCAAATTTTATATTTTCTTCGTTTTTTCATATAAAAGCTTTCTGGAGCAAGACACGGACTACGCACGCAAATCGACAAACACTAAATAGAGCTAGTCGAGGTCTCGGAATACGAAAATAAAGGCTAAAACTCAAAGTGACCTATCGGGTCATCACATTCTCTACCTCTAAAATAAACGTTCGTCCTCGAACGGACGTAGAAAGGTACCTGGACTGGTGAAAATTTGTGAATATCTACTCTGCATATCGAACTCGGACTCCCACGTGGCTGCCTCGATCAGCTGACCTCTCCACTTTACTCTAACTGAAGGATAACTTTTAGACCTCAACTTTCGGACTTGTCAGGCTAGAATGGCCACCGGCTCCTCCTTATAAGTCATGTCCTTGTCCAACTGGACTGAGCTGAAATCTAACACATTGGACGGATTACCGTGATACTTCCGGAGCATGGACGCATGGAACATCAGATGGACTGCTGATAAAATAGGTGGCAGTACAAGCCTGTATGCCACCTCACCCACTCTCTCAAAAATCTCAAAAGGTCCTATATACCTAGGGCTCAACTTGCCCTTCTTTCCGAAACTCATTACACCCTTCATGGGTGAAAATCGTAGCAATACCCTCTCTCCAACCATGAATGCAACATCACGAAATCTACGATCAACATAACTTTTCTGCCTAGACTGAGTTGCGTGAAGTCGATCCTAAATCATCTTGACCTTTTCCAAGGCATCCTGAACCAAATCAGTGCCCAATAATCGAACCTCTCTCGGCTCGAGCCAACCAACTGGCGAACGACACCACCTCCTGTATAATGCCTCATAGGGAGCCATCTGAATACTCGACTGGTAGCTGTTGAAGGGGCAAGAACTGATCCCAAGAATCTCTAAAATTCATAACGCAAGCGCGAAGCATATCCTCTAATATCTGAATGGTGCGCTTGAACTGCCCGTCCATCTAGGGGTGAAATGTTATACTCAACTCAATTCGTGTGCCTAACTCATGCTGTACGACCCTCTAGAAGTGTGAGGTGAACTGTGTACTTCGATCAGAAGTGCCCGTGAAGACGGACGATCTCGCGGATGTGGATCTCAGCTAACCGTTATGAAGAATAGGTAACTGCTACTGGAATGAAATGTGTCGACTTGGTCAACCCTTCCACAATGACCCATACTGCATCGAACTTCTTCTGAGTTCGTGGGAGCCTAACAACAAAATCCATGGTAATACGCTCCCACTTCCACTCAGGAATCTCCAGCCTCTGAAGCAAACCACCAGGCCTCTAATGCTTGTGCTTTACTTGTTGACAATTAAGACATCGAGCTACATATGCAAATGTATCCTTATTTATTCTCCTCCACCAATAATGTTGTCGCAAGTCCTGATACCTCTTAGCGGCACCTGGATGGATGGAATACCGAGAACTATGGGCCTCCTCAATAATCAACTCACGAAGCCCATCCATGTTGGGCATACAAATCCCACCCTGCATCCGCAAAACCCCATCATCTCCAACAGTAACATGTTTGGCACGACCGTTCCGCACCGTGTCCTTAAGGACAAGCAAATAAGGGTCATCATACTGACGCTCTTTGATGCGCTCATACAAAGAAGACTAAGAGACCGTGCAATAGAGATTCGGCTAGGCTCCGAAACATTTAACCTCCAAAACATCTAACCTCATGAACCTCATCAACCCAAATGACATTACTAGAAACTCGTAATGCCCATATCGAGTCCGTAAAAGCCGTCTTAGGGACATCTGATGCCCTAATCTTCAACTGATGGTAGCCAGACCTCAAATCAATCTTCGAAAACACTTTGGCACCTTAAAGTTAATCAAATACATCATCAATCCTCGGCAACGGATACTTGTTCCTAATAGTGACTTTGTTCAACTGCCGATAGTCTATACACATCCTCATCGACCCATCTTTCTTCTTCATGAACAACACGGGTGCACCCTAGGGCGAGACACTAGGTCTAATAAATCCCTTATCAAGCAAATCTTGCAACTGCTCCTCCAATTCCTTCAACTCTGGCGGGGCCATACGGTATGGTGGAATGGAAATGGGCTGAGTGCTTGATAAGTGGGGATTTGGACTGCTTATTAACACCTATTAGCTTTTGTTTTGTTCCGAAAGTATTGAATTGTGTTCCCGAAACTAATAAAATTGTGCAAATTACAGGAATGCCGGAAGTTTGGTCTCTCTAGATGAAATCCGACTCAAAAAGGAGTGTTTCGAATCACAAGGCAATAAAGGGCGCAGAAGTACAAATATGTGGTCTGCAGAAGGAATTCTGCGGCCGTGGAAGAAATTGTGGACCGCGGAATTCCATCTATGGCCGCAAACCAAGAAGAAAAACCCAACAGGACTTTCAGCAATGTGCGGTCGCAGAACTGGGCTATTACTGACAAAGATGCAAAGTTTAGAGAATATACAAGAAGAACAAGTCCTCGAGCCTTTGTGAGGTGCGGACCGCACAAGAATTATGCGGACGCAGAAGTTTCCTTGCAGCCGTAGTTCAGAAATGTGCGGCCGCATAACTCACATTCCTGCAAGCTGAAGAAATCTACAGATAGCACATGGAGTTGTGCGACCGCAGAACCTCTCGAGGGGCATTTTTGTCCGTTATTTTTGGCCATGTATAAATAGACGAGTTTCACAAAATTAGGTCAATTTTGAACATTAAAAGTTGTTGTAGCCATTAGTTTTACTACTTTAGGAAGTTTTACATTATTTTGGTGTATTAACATTAGATTTCATCATTTTAATCATTCATTATGGATTTAATTAGCTTTTCTTATTTATTCTCTTCAATACTCATTATGAGTAGCTAGATTTTTACTAGGGTTGTAACCCAATCCTAGTGTGTAAAGCTTTTGGGTGATTAATTTAATACTTATTTATGATTTGGTTTTGATTATTTATCGTAGTTCATGCTTCAATTTTAGAATTAATAGTTGCAATCATTGATTCATGCCTATTTGGCTTAGTCTCTACTTCAGAAAGAGAGACCTAGTGTAGGATAACTTGGCTAATAAGGAATTGGGTTAATTGAGAGATTGATTAGCCTAATTAAATGATTCAAACTAGAGATAGTAAGAACCCGATTTGAGCTCATATAAACTATTTTGTTTGATATCCATTTGGACTTGAGAAAGTCAAGTTGGGCAAAATCATTCTCTGACCGAGAGGTATTGAGTGGGTAACGTAGAGTTGAGATCTATAATACACCCCAATCAATAAAATAAGTGTTAATATTTTTATCCCATTAGGCAAACACCTAGGTCATGGTCACAGCCCTAGGCCTTTAAACTATTTGGAAAAATATCAAAAACATCCATCTCTAGTTTACTTCCCTTAGCTTACAATCATTAAAGTAATAGTAGAAGTAGAAATCAAAACTCTATTGTGGAAGTGCAAATTTAGGTGGTCTATTCACTTGCTTCAAATATAATACTCCTGACACCCCTTATAACTCCCAGTGGATTCGACCCGGACTCATAGTTGGGTAATTATTATTGCATACGACCGTATCATATCTCTTGTTGAGGTGTGTACTGGACGTCATCAATTTTTGGCGTCATTGCTGGGATGTTAAAACGATGTTACTATATATTTGGGTGTGTTTTTAGAATATCTTCTTTTCCTTTCGTGTTACTAACTTGTGTGAGAAATTGTAGGTACAACCATGGCGAACAATGAACTCAGAAATTTGCTTTTGGGGGATGTGGGCGTTGAGGACGAGCAAGTTGATGAGGTTCCTCTTGAACCTCAAGCCAATAAAAGAGGCTGAGTGCCTCATGACAATGTCCCCGCTCCACACCCACCTCCACCACGAACTGCTCCACACCGAATATTACCCAATGAAGGATATGCAAGTACAATTGTCCCTCCCCGTATTAGGGAGGCCAGCTTTCAAATCACCAACGTGATGCTCCCTTTGCTGGAGCAACGGGGTTTCTTCACCGGTGCTTCAACTCAAAATGTGTACAAATATTTGAAGGGGTTTGTGGATACTTATTAGGGGAGCAAACAAACAAATGTCTCCGAGGATACATTGAGGCTAAGGCTTTTTCCCTTCATTCTAGTGGGAAAGCTTTAGATTTATTGGAACATTTGTCAAACTATTCCATTCACACTTGGGATGAGTTGGCAGAAAAGTTTATTTCTAAGTTCTTCTCTCCGGGGCACATGGCTACACTTCGAGATGAGATTTTGGCATTCAAGCAAGAGCCGAATGAACCACTACACAAGATATGGGAACATTATAGAATAATGGTTAAGGAATGTTCCAACAACGATATGACGGAGAATATGATTCAACAAACTTTCTATCATGGGATTAATATAACCAACCAATGTGTAGTGAATTAACTTACTGGTGGAAACTTCATGACTATGCCTTGTGCGGAGATGTGTGATATTTTGGATGAGATGGCAGAGGGGGATGCACCAGTTCAGGATATCCTCGATGATGGTAGAGGGGGAGATGCTACAGCTTCCGGTCTTGAAAGATCAAAGAAAAAAAAGGTTTGGGATGACCGATTTGTTAGGTTGGATTCCTTCACCAACTTTCGTACATGGTGGCCAGCGAGGTCGCTAACACTTGAGCGACAATTTTTGTTGAAAGATTTCGAGAGGTACAATCCAGCCATTTTGAGGCAGTTCAGGGAACGCAATGGGTGGATGTGGTTCATTCAGAGTGTAGTAGATGCCAAAGAGTACCTTGTCTGGGAATTCTATGCTAATGTGGCGCATATCAAAAAGGGGACAAGGGTGACCAAAGTGTGTAACCTCAAAGTGAGGTTGGATCAACATACACTTAACACATACTTAGGGTTCGAAGATGTTGAGCCGAAGGAGTATTTGGAGAAGCGTACACTGGTAGACGCAGTCCGACCTTGGTTAGCAGAGATTCTAGCAGCACCAAGGCCACTACCACTTTAGCGGAGATGCCGAGGCAGTTGATGTTCCATCCACTTTAGCCGAGCCTTCCTCCAGTGCCACAGCTATGCCTCTGCCCTCTTTCATAGCCCCTACTGTAGATCCTACAACAGCTCCCACCTCGGCTTTGAAGCCAATGCCCATGCCTCCTCATCCACTATCTGCATTGCGAGTCTCCCAAACATTGACGAGTCTCAATAACTGGATGCAGACAGCCACTGTAAAGCTGACTGACTTGTCCAGTACTGTTGCAGCGCAGTCCACCTCACAGGAATCACAGGTTCCCTCTGACATTGAGGAGACATTGAAGAAAATTTTAGAGAACTAGAAGACTATTATGGACACCTTGGTACAACATGGGTCGGTGATTGAAGAGCTGGGAAAGGAAGTAAAGAAGATGACAAAGTCCCAGGCCAGTAAGAAGTTAGTGGACAAGCTTCGAAGACAGGTAACCAGGCTTGCACAGTTGGAGATATATCCCCTTTGGCATCCTGCTTGACCCGTACCACTCCGTCCCAGATCCTACAGCACCAATTGCACCGGTGGCACCACCTGGCCAGTCTGAAGAGCCAGACCTTGCTGCCGACACTGCTGAGGCAGCGCATTAGATGTTCGCCAACCTAGCCACACCTAGAGTTGAGGATGATGAGATTCAGTTGGCTGGTCTTGAGGGCGACAACATTGCCGGGGACACAGAGATGTCCAAGGAGCCATAGGGAGTTTTCTTCACTCTTTCCTCTTTTACTCTTATTTTGCTAAGCATTGGGGACAATGCATACTTTTATTCGGTGAAGTTTATTTGATACATTTGGTACTTTGATACATTTGGCCTGTAATAATTTAATGATATTCTCTAATTTCTTATCCGTATGTATATACCTTCTCTCTCTCTCTCTCTCTCTCTCTCTCTCTCTCTCTCTCTCTCTTACTATATAGATTCATTTTATCCTTAGTAGTTTTGTTTATTAGCTTATTTATATTTGTTTTTGCTTATTAGCTTTTTTTTTTATATTTTAGTAGTGTATTAGCTTTTGTTTTTCTTAGTATCTTCTTTTTATGTTCTAGTAGATAATAAGCCTTTGGTGTTCTTAATGCCACGGTTCTTTCCAAAGGTAGTTTTAGTGTGAACCGGGTGAGTCGTCCTAACGATGGATGGTGTGACAACCTTCTTAAGGGAATGAGTCTGTTTTTGTGTTTAGATAATAATAGTAGTAGTAATGAATAAAAAGACCTAATTATGTCATGCAATAAGAGTCAACCATGCTTCAATTGGCACCAGCACACTTAGTTACGTGCTTATGATTAGAGACAAGGTTTTTGAAAGAAATAGCTCTAGTTAGTGACTTTGTGACTCTTATATTGACTTTGGCAATCATCGAGCGGTTTAAATGGACCATAGTGATCTTTAAACTTGAATGTAGTCATAGTGGTCCCTCGGCTCTGTCCTCTTTTACAATCTGGTTGCGTGAGGGGTGAAATGAATTGTTGCTAGTCCAAGTATCCATGTGAAGGGTCTAGAACTTGCCCTGAATGTGTTTCAAGGCAAAATCTTAAATGTTGTTTGGTTTGAGACATGATTGTGGGCTCTCTTTGGCCCGTTTGAGTTTTCTATTGCCAACCAATATCATTATCTCTAGTCAACCCCTTTAAGCCTCTAGCCTTTCTCTTTTGATAACCATGTTACAAGCCTTTACCCGTTTTGTCGTGACACTCTCTTGGCACCTGGACTTTCTTAACACTCTTTGAAACAAATGTCTTAAAACGTAAGTTTGGGGGAGAGATGATGAACTTGAAAAAGGTATCAAGGCACAAAAAGAGAAAAGAAATGATCTCTATAAGAAGAGAAGGCAAGAAAAGAAAAGAACAAAAAGAAAAATACAAAAAGTGAATAAGTGGAAGGGTTGAATAGATTCAAAAAGAGGTAATGATCCCAAACATAGAGAAATCAAAAAAAAAAAGGAGAAAAAGAATGAAATGATCAAAAAGAGTGATGCTAAGTTTCTCTAGTTCCCAATGAAAAGAAAGTACCTCTAAAAATTGGCAAAGTGTGAGCCGAGAAATGAAAGATGGAGTGTTTAAGGAAAGGTGTAACCACTTACCCATACGGTATCCTACACTAACCCAAAAGCCTTTATGTTTCAAATCGAGTGAGCTTACATTAGTGGCGATCTACATGAGGGGCAAGCCTATGGTACTTGAAGCCGTACTTGTGACATTCTCTTGAGAGATATGAGTGAACCTTTTATAAATCTTTGGATTGAGTGTTAAGTTTCTTAAGTGAGCTTGGCAAATGGAAAGTAGAGGAGGAAGAGTTTGGAGTCCACCATGGCCTACGTGATAGAGCAAGGTCCTTGATGAGTAAAGTCAACTCTTGAAACTCAATTGTCACATTAGAACTATATGTGCATGAATGTTTAACTTGTCGCCTTGTTAATAATGCATGAGTAGTGTGGGTAATTGTCGGTCCCAATTTATGTGTGATTGGCTCACCTTTGATCGCTGAAATGACCCTTAACTTTTGGAGGCGGGAACTAATTTATTTGCTTGAGGACAAGCAAAGACTTAAGTTTAGGAAATTTCATAATTGGGGATTTTGACTGCTTATTAGCACCTATTAGCTTTTGTTTTGTTCCGAAAGTATTGAATTGTGTTTCCGAAACTAATAAAATTGT